ATATATGTGCCACATCTTGTTTATCCATTCATCTGTTGATGGACACTTAGTTTGCTTCTATTGTAAATAGACCTGCAGTGAACATTGTGGTACATGACTCTTTTTGAATTATGGTTTTCTTGGGGTATATGCCCAGTGGTGGGATTTCTGGGTCGTATGAAGGTTCTATTTTTAGTTTTTTAAGGAACCTCCATAATGTTCTCCATAGTGGCTGTAGCAATTTACATTCCCACCAACAGTGCAAGAGGGTTCCCTTTCTCCACACCCTCTCCAGCTTTATTGTTTGTAGATTTTTTGATGATGGCCATTCTGACTTGTGTGAGATGATATCTCATTATAGTTTTGATTTGCATTTCTCTAATGATTAATAATGTTGAGCATTCTTTCATGTGTTTGTTGGCAATCTGTATGTCTTCTTTGGAGAAATGTCTATTTAGGTCTTCTGCCCATTTTTGGATTGGATTGTTTGTTTTTTTTGATACTGAGCTGCATGAGCTGCTTGTAAATTTTGGAGATTAATCCTTTGTCAGTTGCTTCATTTACAAATATTTTCTCCCATTCTGAGGGTTGTCTTTTCATCTTGTTTATGGTTTCCTTTGCTGTGCAAAAGCTTTGAAGTTTCATTAGGTCCCATTTGTTTATTTTTGTTTTTATTTCCATTTCTCTAGGAGGTGTGTCAAAAAGGATCTTGCTGTGATTTATGTCATGGAGTGTTCTGCCTATGTTTTCCTCTAAGAGTTAGATAGTGTCTGGCCTTACATTTAGGTCTTTAATCCATTTTGAGTTTGTTTTTGTGTATGGTGTTAGGGAGTGTTCTAATTGCATTCTTTTACATGTAGCTCCTCAGTTTTCTCAGCCCCACTTGTTGAAGAGGCTGTCTTTTCTCCACTGTATATTCTTGCCTCCTTTATCAAAGATAAGGTGACCATATGTGGGTGGGTTTATCTCTGGGCTTTATATCCTGTCCCATTGATCTATATTTCTGTTTTTGTACCAGTACCATACGGTCTTAATTACTGTAGCTTTGTAGTATAGTCTGAAGTCAGGAAGCCTGATTCCTCCAGCTCCGTTTTTCTTTCTCAAGATTGCTTTGGCTATGCGGGGTCTTTTGTGTTTGCATACAAATTGTGAGTTTTTTTGTTCTAGTTCTGTGAAAAATGCCAGTGGTAGTTTGATAAGGATTGCATTGACTATGTAGATTGCTTTGGGTAGTAGAGTCATTTTCACAATGTTGATTCTTCCAATCCAAAAACATGGTATATCTCTCCATCTATTTGTATCATCTTTAATTTCTTTCATCAGTGTCTTATAATTTTCTGCATACAGGTCTTTTGTCTCCTTAGGTAGGTTTATTCCTAGATATTTTATTCTTTTTGTTGCAATGGTAAATGGGAGTGTTTTCTTGATTTCACTTTCAGATTTTTCATCATTAGTGTATAGGAATGCCAGAGATTTCTGTGCATTAGTTTTGTATCCTGCTACTTTACCAAATTCATTGATTAGCTCTAGTAGTTTTCTGGTAGCATCTTTAGGATTCTCTATGTGTAGTATAGTGTCATGTGCAAACAGTGACAGCTTTACTTCTTCTTTTCCGATTTGGATTCCTTTTATTTCTTTTTCTTCTCTGATTGCTGTGGCTAAGACTTCCAAAACTATGTTGAATGATAGTGGTGAGAGTGGGCAACCTTGTCTTGTTCCTGATCTTAGTGGAAATGGTTTCAGTTTTTCACCATTGAGGATGATGTTGGCTGTGGATTTGTCATATATGGCCTTTATTATGTTGAGGTAGGTTCCCTCTATGCTTACTTTCTGGAGAGTTTTTATCGTAAATGGGTGTTGAATTTTGTCAAAAGCTTTCTCTGCATCTATTGAGATGATTATATGGTTTTTCTCCTTCAATTTGTTAATATGGTGTATCACATTGATTTGCTTATATTGAAGAAACCTTGCATCCCTGGGGTAAACCCCACTTAATCATTGTGTATGATCCTTTTAATGTGCTGTTGGATTCTGTTTGCTAGTATTTTGTTGAGGATTTTTGCATCTCTGTCCATCAGTGTTATTGGCCTGTAGTTTTCTTTCTTTGTGACATCTTTGTCTCGTTTTGTTATCAGGGTGATGGTGGCCTTGTAGCATGAGTTTGAGAGTATTCCTCCCTCTGCTGTATTTTGGAAGAGTTTGAGAAGGATGGGTGTTAGCTGTTCTCGAAACGTTTGATAGAATTTGCCTGTGAAGCCATCTGTCTCTTCATTTTTGAAGAATATTTTCACTGGGTAGAGGATTCCAGCATTCCACTTCATTCTGGCTTCCATCTTTTCTGATAAGAAATGTGCTTTCATTCTAATTGTTTTGCTTCTATAAGTAACATATCATTTTTCTCTGACTGCTTTCAATATTTTTTCTTTGTCATTAGTTTTCAGAAGCTTAATTACGATGTGTCTTGATATGAATTTCTTTGAGTTTATTTTGAATTTGTAGGTTTATGTCTCTTACCAAATTCAGGAAGTTTTCAGCAATTATTTCTTCAAGCACCTTTTTTTTTAGCCTTCTTTATCCTTGCTTTGCAGGACTCTAATGACATAAATATTAGCTCTTTTGCTGTTTTCCCACAGGTTTCTGAAGCTCTGTTCTTTTTAAGTCTTTTTTCTCTGCATCATTCAGATAGGGTGATTTATATTGTTTTGTCTTCCTGTTCAGTGATTATTTCCTCTTTGTTTCCATTCTGCTCTTGAGCCCTTCCACTGAGTTTTTTATTTCAGTTTATTGTATTTTTAGTTCTAAAATTTCTATTTGTTTCTTCTTGGATTTTTTGTAAATTAATTAATTTATTTGTTTTTATTTTTGGCCGTGTTGGGTCTTTGTTGCTGTGTGAGGGCTTTCTCTAGTTGCAACGAGCAGGGGCTAGTCTTTGTTGCAATGCACAGTCTTCTCATTGTCATGGCTTCTCTTGTTGTGGAGCATGGGCTCTAGGTGTGCGGGCTTCAGTAGTTGTGACACGTGGGCTCTAGAGCACAGGCTTAGTATTTGTGGCACATGGGCTTAGTTGCTCTGTGGCTTGTGGGATCTTCCCGGACCACGGATCGAACCTGTGTCCCCTGCATTGGCGGGCAGATTCTTAACCACTGAGTCACCAGGGAAGCCCTCTTCTTTGGATTTTTTTATTTCTTTGGGGATTTCTGTTTTTTCATTTGTTTCAAGCATTTTCATAGTTGCCCATTGAAGCATTTTTATGATGGCTGCATTGAAATCTTTTTCAGATAATTCTAATATTTCTGTCATTGTGGTGTTGTCATCTATTGTTTAATTTTGTATTCAATTAGAGGTCTTTCTGGTTCTTCATTTGATGATTTCTTTTCAGTTGAAATTTAGACATATATAAAACTCTGGATTTTCTTTAAACCTTTTGTTTCATCTGGTTTTCTCTGGTACCACTCCAGAAGGAAAATTGAGGATGCCAGCTTGTTCCTTCCAGATGAAAATAGAAGTTCAGTTTCACCACTCAGCCTCCACCAAAACCTAAGGTGGACATGGCTTCTTGTTACTGCTGGGTGAAGGTCGGAATTTCAGCTCCCTGTGTGGTGCCCCCTGACACCATGGTGAGAGTAGTCTTGTTACCACTGGGTGACAGTGAAAGCACTGACTTTTGTTAGGTCTCTTCTGATAATCCTTAAGCATGGAGGGGAGGAGTGCCTCATTACTGCTGGGTAGGGTTGGAAGTCCAGGCTCCTTGCGTGGTCTCCACTGACACTGTTAATGGAGGTCTTATTACTGCTCAGTGGGGATGAAAGTTTGGCTCACCACTTAAACTTCTCAGGAAGGGGGATTGAGATATCTCATCACAGACTCACGGGGGGAAGTCTGTGTTCTTCACTCAGCCTTTGGTAACATGGGTGGGGGTGGTGCCCCATTTTTTTCCATGGTGTTTGGCTGGAAATGGCAGTTATTATCTAAAAGTTTCCTGTCACTAGGCTGTCCCTTTCTTGGTCCTTTGGCTAGAGAGAGCAGGCTATTGTTGGGGTATTTTTGTCTGCACCTGTTGATATTGCCAGGTTGCCGGCTTCTTCAGCTGTAAGTCTGGGCTATATAAAGCAAAAAGAAATTTCAGGGAACTCAGCACTGTGTCGTTTTCTGGATTTCAAGATCCCTAGCTAGTGTCTGTCTTTCCACCTTTTACAGTCTTCTTATGCTTGTTTTTGTAATGTCTGGGGTTTGTAGTTATATTTAATGGGAGGAATAGGAGAAGTACATCTACTTCATCTTCCTAGAAGCAGAAGTTCAATTGATTTTTGACAGAGGTGAAAAGGCAGTTATGTATAGAAAGAATAGTCTTTTCAGCAAATGGTGTTAGAATAAAAGAATATCAAAAAAAGTGTTAAGTGAAAGAAATAAGTTGGAAAATATGTATTATATGCCACAATCCATTTTTCAAATGAAATAAAAACTTGGGACTTACATGTAATTATGTTTGTACAAGTGAATGTTTGTGTGTATTTGGTTATGTATAGAGAAAGCCTAGAAGAATACACACCAAATTGTGTATTTAATAAACAAGATAGAGAATAGTATGTATTCTCTCCTTCCGAGATACCAACGACATAAATATTAGATGTGGTTATTGTCCCATGACCCTAAGATTTCATGATCCTAATTTTGCTTGGAAAAGAAGATTTTTTAAATTATACATGATTGTATTGTTTCATTTCTTAAGGCCTGGAATAGTACCCACCAAACTGTCGACACTGATTTGCTTTAGGAATTAGAAATGAAATATTTGAATTTTTTAATGTACTTAGTAGATTTGAAATCTGTATTAAAAGCATATAGTACTTTTTTAATGTTTTTAATGAGTAAAAATAATCAAGAAAGGGGACATTGTTACAAAAAAAATGCAGTATCCTAACAGTGAAATTCACCAACCAACAACCAAAATCAAAACATGCATACATACCATATTAGTATATAAACTGATGGTGACCTGATTCTTTCCCCTCAACACACAGGAATAAATGAAGAAGAGGAGAAGAAAAAAGCAAAAAGCAAAGAGAAAATCAAGTTGAAAAAAAAAAGGAAAAGGTATTTTTTTAACATTTTTTTTTAAAAAGCAGGACTATGGATCTAGATGGATTATAAAATTTTATTTTTCATGTTATAGTCCAGTTAATTTAATATTATCTTAATGAAAGTTAGGTGTTCAGTTGTTTCAGTAAAATAACAAAATCCTTCATGTCAGGAATCAAAAATAAAGTCAGCACTCAGCCACCTTAAATTTTCTTTTTTGGAGCAAATCAAGGTATAAATAAATAACAGCCCCACCTGCTTCTTTTTTTTTTTTTTTTTTTACATCTTTATTAGAGTATAATTGCTTTACAATGGTGTGTTAGTTTCTGCTTTATAACAAAGTGAATCAGTTATACATATACACATGTTCCCATCTCTTCCCTCTTGCATCTCCCTCCCTTCCACCCTCCCTATCCCACCTCTCCAGGCGGTCACAAAGCACTGAGCTGATCTCCCTGTGCTATGTGGCTGCTTCCCACTAGCTATCTACCTTACATTTGGTAGTGTATATATGTCCATGCCTCTCTCTTGCTTTGTCACAGCTTACCCTTCCCCCTCCCCATATCCTCAAGTCCATTCTCTAGTAGGTCTGTGTCTTTATTCCTGTCTTACCCCTAGGTTCTTCATGACATTTCCGCCTGCTTCTATTATGTATTCTATTTGTATTCTAGAATTTTTAAGTTTTAGAACATCAGTTAAGTTTTTAATTGGACGTATGTCTAAATTCTTCACATATATATTTTGTCCTCATATGTATGAATTTGGAGCTTAAATATTTGTATTCTCAAAATATCATTGTCATGGCTAAGAAATTAATTTATTAATAGGATTTATGTACTCATTTGTCATGCTAAAAATACCTTCAGATCTTTCAGAATTCTCATCAGCCACCTACGAATTTTTACTATCAACTCTTTTAACAAGAACTGGTTAAAGAAATTGATCAAAAGACTTAAGAGGCAGCTTCTTCCTTGGTTCATGAGTGCACTTTCATTTACACTAGAATAAACATGTACATATAGACACTTTTTAGGGCATTTAGCAGGTAGTAATATCTAGCTTGGACCTTAGTTCTCTGACAGTAGGTTCTGCACATCAGGTGTTGTCACTTTGTAGTTTTTATAGAGCATGTAATATATACATTCTAACACCCTCAGCTACTTTATAAATTGGAAAAGTTAACTTACTTTCAGGTGTTGGGAGTTAATAATGTTTAAGAAGTAACACAGGAAGGTAGAGCTCAGTGTATCGTGTAGTCTGATGAGTGTATTGTTTAATCATTTGCATTAGCACAGCATGTGGATCGCTTACAGGAGAAGTGAGATTTTCTGTTTTCTTCCAAATTTTCATGTACTGGTTTTAGAGTAACATATCATTTACTCAAGCCTCTCTACCTTGGTCCTCACCCACCTCAGACAGGGCCTGAAATTAAAAGAACTTTTCTAAGTACACTTAGCAAAGGTAACACCACCTGATGTGGTTGCTCTGCCAAAGTGTAACATTCTGCCTTAAAGAGAACCCAGGTCCAGAAAGCCAAAGAAAAAAGTGCAGGCAGAGAAGCAGCGCTGGTTAGAATGTAGAGGTCAAGCAGGTCTTTAAACAGGAAAGTAGGCAAGAGTTGAGAAAAAGAGTTGAAGAAAGTGCAAGAGAATACGTGAGAAAATAAGCTCAGGAGATGGCCAGAGTCTGAGAAGATGGACAAAAAAGAGGAAAGAACACAATGTTACAGAAACGGGGGAGGCTGAGAGTCCCTGATCAAGGAAGGCAGTCAAGGAATTCGCACAGTGAGTCACTCTACAGACACAACCTTGTAGTCTCATGTGTTTACTTTGCCTTCTATTGTATGTCTTTTAGGTTTTCTTAGTTTGGGTTTTAACTTCTAATGTTTAGATTACTCAGCTATCTCTGGGATGCCTTTTAGGTTTTAAATTAACTCAGTTTCTGTTCAGTCACACATATTTGGGGTCTGGATATTGTTGCACATCTTTTTATACGTCTCTTAAGAGAGATGGGTTTTTTGTTCGTTTTTTATTATTTTTCATTAGAGGAAAGAATTCTACAGTTTATTTTCCCAATTTAGTATTCGAGTAATATAAAAAGAATAAAGTATAATGATGTTATTCTCATTCATTTATATAGAGTATACATTTAAAAGCATTCTTTCTGTAACTAGTGAAAATTATTTCAGAATGCAAGTGTTCATCTGTATCACTCTGCATGTAAAAGAATCAAGTACTTTAACTTGAAAAATAAAATAAAACAAAAGTGCTTTTATCTTGCTAATTTTCAGCTTTCATTCATTTATACGGAGATACAACTGTAGCCCTTTTTATATAATTGTATCCTTTGTGGCTCTTTTAAGAGAATATGGGAACAAGTTATTATATACACAAGTGAATTGTGTATATAATGAGGGTTGGTAAATGCCATTTTTCTTTGCCTTATAAGAAAGATTTTGAAGGGTACACAGGATGAAAAACAGAATCACAGAAAAATTGTTTCACCCTTACTGAATTTAAAACTCATAACTAGAACTGAGCAGAATAGAGACATTTGTTTTGTTAGTTTCTCTGGCTAAGTGGCAAAAACTCTGAATACCGTATTTTAAGAGAATACAAATATATAAAGCATATTTTGTTTGAATTCCTTTATATTTATACTCCTACCTTACTCCAAGAAGGATTTAAGGCAGTTCAGATTCCATTTAAATGTACCCATCAACCATAAATACAATTATCAGTCAGCATGCATTATTACTCATAGGTCTTATTCATCCAGTTCCACTGAAGAGGACACTTCAAAACAAAAGAAACAAAGATATCAGAAGAAAGAAAAGAAAAAAGAGAAAAAGAGTAAGTCAAAAAAGGGGAAGCATCACAAAAAGGACAAAAAGAAGAGAAAAAAAGAAAAACATTCCTCTGCCCCTAATAATTCTGAAATCTCCAAAAAGTAACTGAGACTTTGGCCTGAACCATTAAATTTAAAAATTTGGTTTTGAAAATTATTAGACTTTCCTTGAAATTTGCTATATAATTATGCTTTGCAATAAATTACAGCCTTTTCCATATAGACATTTTTTCATATATGGGGCCATTACTGTCTGGCAGTATTTTATTGTACTATGATTATTGACTATTGAATCAGTCTTATTACTTGATAGCCATGCCCCAAGTATGGATATTTGTGCAACAAAACTCATCGTTTTTTGTATTCCTCTGTGTGTGTGTCTGGCTAGTGTTATTACTTCATAAGTTGATTGTAAATGGCTTTACTCCAGTCAACACAGGCAATCTACTTAGCAGTTAATGAGTACTGCTGAATTAAGTGTCCACCTTCCAGTGTTAAAGTGAGGTAGGGGATAATGCTTTGTGCTTGACACTGAAAAATTTCATAGCTTTATATCCTATGATAATGTATAATGAGAGTGAAGTTTTTCACTGTTGTTTTTAAATCTTGGCTTTTTTTGGATGTCACAGGAGATGAAGCTGCTTTATTGGTCTTGACTAGAACTTTTAAATGAATGGCATCAGCAGGGAGATGATAATGAAAGGAGATGAAGCTGCTTTATTGGTCTTGACTAGAACTTTTAAATGAATGGCATCAGCAGGAAGATGATAATGAAAGTATTTATAACAAAATTTCACTGTTTTTTGAGATGCAGAGTTTCTAGTACCTGCCTCCTTGGTTTTTGTAACAAAATATTTCTTCCTTGCTTAAAAAGACAAGTCTAGTTCAGCTTACTTGTAGGTCTCATAGAGATGATGCTGTGTTGGGCAGGATTTTTAAGATAGACTCCTGGGTTGTTTTACAAATATGCCATATTGGCATGTCTTAAAGAGATACCTCAAACACAGAACTTTTTATTTAGGAGGATAACAGCTAAATCTTCATTAGAGCTGATTTTTATTGTATTCAGTATGTAAATTTTATGATGCTTGTTTCTATGAGTAATGTGGAAATTTTTTATAAATGTGAACATATATATATGTATTTGTCTGAAATAATTTGTAGTTTTGAAGCAGGTTTCCACTGAATTTATGTTTTCATAAATGACTAGTTTGAGGTGTTTCTCTCTTTGACTTCAATCATAAACCTCAGGAGCAGTGACAAAAATTTAGGATTAAGAATTTTATTCTGTACTTTTTAAAATTTAAGAGTCAGGGAGTTACATCATGAAAGCCTTTATATAACAATGGAAATTTTATATGAGTTAGCATTTTCAAACACACAGTTGTAGATATAAATGTTTCTGCATTTTTTTAATTTCTCAATGATACTTGGATATCCCTTATGTCCAATAAGTTAAATACTTATTGCAGCAGCATCGAAAGTCAACTAGTTATCATGGTACAGCACCAAAGATTGTAAGTACCTCACTGTGGTGCAGTTATAAATTTTCAAATTGGTAGCCTACAGACATGGCTGCAGGTGAATTCATTATGATGAAATCAGGTAAGTACACATAACCTCACAGGCTGGAAAGGTGTACTGATTCTTCCTTCACCCAGCACTCCTATCTGGCATGACCTCAGTACGACTGGGAGAGCCTCATAACTCCTCTTAGCATATGCTTACCTTGTGCAGATTCTAGGGAAGCTACATCCATATCCCTTTTCTAACATTACAGCCATGGAAGTGCTCACACTTGTAGCTTTTCCATAACCTAACTTAGTCCTATGGCCTCCTTAAAAAGAAATCCTTTTGTTTAAATAGCTTAGTCAGTTATTTGGAGAGAAACACAGAGCTATGAGGTTTTTAAGGGTTTGTTTTGCCTTTGCTGTAGTTTATGTATTTTTGAAAACTATATTTTATGAAAATTACAATCCTTTGGTTATCAATATGAAAAAAATAAGTAAAAATACTTTAAAAAATTATTAGAAAATGCTACATGCAAATGTATGGTCTCATCCTATTGAGTGTGTAACATGGTTAAAAATGATAATTGTAGTGACACAAGAGTTGATCCAGATATTTGTAAGTTTTACTTCTGTTAGTTGTAGAGATAATAAGTTGGCTCATCAGATTTGTTATCTGAATGCTGAGACAATCAGTGGCTCAGGAGAGTTATATAAAATTCAGGCCTCATTAACTAATAAGAGTTGACAAATTAAAAGATTTTAACGTTCAGTAATTTTTTTCCCCAGAAAAAACTCTTGGAATTATTCTTGAGTAAATTTCCCATAGTCTGAGAATAGTTTATGAAAGATCTCATCTGAATAAAATTCATTTATTTTTACTAAAGTAATTTTCTTCTGAAGTGACCTTGTTATTATTATTGGGTTTGGATGCAAATCTCACTAATATATTGTAGGAGGAAATTAGTGACATTTCCTCTCAGGCAATATGTAGCATAAGGAAAACTGAACTTAATAGTAAAAATCCAAAAGTCCTAGTTGTCTGTGCTTCCATTGAAGGGGCAGGGGTTCAATCCCTGGTCGGGGAACTAAGATCCCTCATGCCGCACGGTGGCCAAAAACACAAGTCCTAGTCGTTCTGGCTACCTGTGTGACCTTCAACAAAGTAATTTACCTTCACTGGGCCTTGGTGTCTTTCATCTATAAAATATTGTACCAAATTATCTCTGAGATCCCTTCTAGTTCTTAATATATATGATTATCAATACTTCAAATAATATTATTTTAGAAATTATTTTCATTTAAAATATAAATTATAGTCATTTATAAATTGTTACAGATAAGCAGGTAGCATTCTGTAAACTATAAAAGTTGAATTTATTAATATAACTGTTAAACACATGTTACTTCTTTAAGCAGATAATTGGTATTTGGTTCATATCCTTACCACCCAGTGTATGTTATTTTCATTAGATGCAGACAGAATTTATGTTTAGATTTGTATCTGTAACCTGATTATCTGAATACTTTGAGACTATTGCTTTTAGGCTGATGGACCTACGCCCCATACAGTTCCGTATTTCTTTTCTCCATATCTTCTGTTGGCTAAAACTTCTCAGAGGGATCCCCAGTTCTTCATACTTAATACATATCTGTTTACATCTTTGGTTCTTTGAGGCTAAAACATCAATGAGTAAAACAACTGTATGTGTCTGTATTTATGACTCATTCTGTCTAAAATTACATAGGCCTAGGTTACCTTCAATTAAACTAGATTGAAGAGTTATCAATAATAGTCTTGTTAAATGCCATTGAGTCCTTTCTTCAGTAAACATTTACTGAGTGCCTAGCATGGCAAACACTGTTAAATACCAGGGATACGGAGATAAGATACATTTGCTTTCCTGAAAGGAATTCACAGTTTAGTTGGAGAAACAGCAGAACTCATCATTAGGTATTAAGTGCAGTAACTGGGTTTATAGAAACACACAGAAGTACCTAACATAGTCTGGAGAAGTTAGAAGAGGGTACCTAAAAAACGTAATGCCTGCAGTGCATTTTGATTGAGGATGAGAGTGGGAGTTGACAGAATGAGTACTGTGAACAAAGCCCACAATAGAAAAAGCTGGGGCGTGTGTGTCAAGAATTATAAGCCCTTTGTGGGGCAGGAGTGGTAAGAATTGAGACCACCATTCTAAGTTCTTAGGTACAAGAGAAGGAGGTTTTATGTTCCATGTTTGGGAACTTGGACTTTATCTGTAACCAAGAGACGCCATTAGAGAGTTTTAAGGAAAGAAATGACTTTTATTGAGGTTTGGTTTCATCCACTTTATAATCCAATCCCACAGTTTTTAAAGGATGAAATCAGTCTCATTAAAAGCCCACATAGAAAATAATTTGAATCTTTGATATTCTATTATCTGATCTCTTATTCTAGGCCCACTTTTCTAAGTTCTGATTTCTAAAAATTACAGTCTTCTGAAAAGCTACTATATTCTTTATCAGACCCATCCCCAGAATTACCTGCAAATGTACATAATTTGAAATGTGTTTTGCTTTTAATTTTATTTTAGGTTATTTTTGACTGACAGAATATATTGTGTTGTTATGTTAGTATTTTCTGTCGATATAAATCATTTAAAATATATTTTTCAATGCAGACTGTCATAATTTGGTAAGGCTTCTTTTAATATTTTTAATATTGATTTGACTATTTTAATATTTAAATCAATATTATGAAGTGCAACTGCTTCAAAGTCACAGTGACACACACTAGCTGGTCTACTAGATAGCCCTGTTGCTCTCCCCCAGGTTTCCTGGCTTGGCAGGGAGTGCTCCACAGATTCCAACTGATACTAAGTGCTGAGACTCAATTTTCCTGGGCAGTTGGCATCCAAGAACAGTAGGGTTTGTTATGCCAGCTCAATGATAATTTCACTTGCGAAGCCCAGGATCTTCAGACCTCACTTGTCTCCTCCCAACTCCTCTAAAATTTTGCAGAGCGCCAGAGAATTGGGTTGCCTCATGTAGAGCACAGCCCATGATGCATGCAGCCATGCCCAGCCCCAGTTTGCCCATCCCACAGGTTGGGAAGAGTCTGGGGAACCAGGAGCATTTTGCTGGCCCTGAGTCTCTAAGTTTCCTGCTTCTTGTCTGGCCTCTGCTCTTCCCCTTGAGCAACAAAAGTAGACTTACCAGTGCCTTAACTAACTTTCTCAACCTAGATTTTCACCTGAGGCAACATCTAATTAGTAATATAATTATTAATATCTGTGTATCAAGATAGCCAATTTTATGGGATTTTTTTTTATCAGAGCTGGATAAAAGATCAAGAAGTACCCACACTTTATGTGCTTTCACAAAAATAGATGAAAATTCTTTGCTTTTATGACCACATAAAATGTCATTTTTGTAAAGGAAACGTTTCAACTTTCAGACTTCACACACACTCTGAGCAATTTTAATATTTAAACATTGGCAAAACTGTGCTCTTTTTGAATGTGAAATCCAACATTGGCAGTAGGATGTTGCAATAATGATCTGGAACTATGCTGTCAGTGTAGCCACATGTGGCTATTGAAATTTAGATTAATTAAATGAAAATGTGTCTCTTCAGTTGCACTAGCCACATTTCAAGTGCTGAGTAGCCACATGTGACTAGTGGCTACCATGCCAGACAGTGCAAATATAGAAAGAACATTTCCATCATCACAGAAACCTCTACTGGACAGCGCTGGAATCCCCAGTTCTTAGTAGAAATTTTGACAGGCTAATGGTCAAAAGTTTCTAACCCTGAGCTTTGCATGCCTGAGAGCCATAAGGCATTCCTTTCTTTTCCCCCAGCAGACCAGAGAAGCTGTAACTGGCACATTTTGAAAGGCTAGTCTTCCAACTACAGAAACTTTGTACAACACGGTAGATGTATTCAGCAGAGCCAGCCTAAAATTAATTTTTTTTTCCTATCGAATTCCATTATAGGACCAGGTCTGTGTTCTTATAATAGAAATCACACTTATGAATAAAAATCTTTTAAAACAATTTTAATTTGCAGAAACTGTAGTTTTATTTCTAGATGTCTAAGTGATACCACTGCAGTAGCCTTAGGTGGGACCAGAGAACTAACTTGTTTGTTTTATAACTTTCATTCTAGAAATTCCTTAGGAACTTTATCAGTGAATGATTTTTGTTATGGTTATCCCTTGCAGAAAATATTTATCATGCAGATTATACATAGTGATACATTTTGTTATTGAATGTTAGTTTTTATAAAGGCAATAATGCAGCAAATCCCCTAAAAAAAGGCATGGGTTGATTTCTAAGAGACTTAAGAACACACCACTTCTCGTTCATAAGGCCACCCCCCGAGATTTACCTATCTAGTACCATCTCTTATAAAAATAACTGCCTCGAGGTGTGAGAAACTTGTGAAGTGCTGGTAATGTGACATAAACTTCTCATTGTTCTTCACTGACATAGGTGTGCTTATCTTGTTATTGATAAATTCTATAATTTCTCCTGAAGTATTAACATAATTTCATGTAATGTAGAAACATCTTAATTAGCAAAAGTAAACTTCTGCACATGGAAATCTATCAGAAACCTTAGTGGGTGTTTAATAAATTAATTGAATGATCAAAACTGCAGCTGTGTCTTGCTTTGTGCATGGTGAGTTTTTGAAAAGTATTATTACGAACTGTATTTGAAGTGAACTCTTTATTTTTGTTGCTCCATCTCTCCAGTGAGCTTTTACAACACAGGATATTTAACAGTAAGCAGTGTTGATTTGTCTCATATCCATTGTTTTCTCTTGAATTATATCATCAGCTTCATAGAATGTTTCATTTGTTGAATTTGAACTGGGGGCTTTGGTTTTTCTATTTGAGCTGCCTGCAAATACACAAAACAAAATGAAATAATTATTTGAAATTATGACATCAAATCTTACTTTAAAATTTGTCCTTAAAGAAATAAACGTTTTAGGAATGTTGGAAATATGATGTCCTAAAGACCTTATGGATGAGTGAGAATTGAATCATTTCAAAGTTCTTTTTGAGCATTTTCTCCTGAAAGTCAAATAAGGGAAATATTCAGTAACAGAAGTAAGGATTTCATTTCCATGCTTACCTTTCTTTCTCCACACTTCCACGGAGGAGAAACTACACATTTGGTCAGAAGGTAACAATTTCTGGGTTGCTTAATCAAAGTGTGACTGTCCTTATGCGTAAAGGGAACAAAACTAAAATCGATCATAATAATTTACAACAGTCTTAAGGCTTTGCCATTATAATCAATTGAGATGTAACATTTAAAAAGAGCATGTTCATCCCACAATCCCATTCACTCGTTCTATATAAATGAGTCCAAAATGCACAAGGGTAGAGGAATGTGGATATTTGTTCATCAGAAGTTAGACTAACAAGCTCATAGCAAAGAAATGGATTATTAATCAATGAATGATGTTAGAAAAATTAAGTGTGAAAATAATGTCATATATTTCACCAATATATACAAATTTAAATATATTTAAATAATTTTATAATTATGTAAAAGCAGTGCAAGAAATCACAGATGTTACTAATAACCCCCTGTTGCTAAACCCACAGTTCAGCTCACAAGCCACATCTTATTTGACCTATCAGCAGCATTTTCTTTCTTGGCTTCCCAGATGCCACCCTTCCTTGACTCACTCCTGTGTCACCATTGCTCCTTTTCCATCTTTCTTGTTGGTCCCTTTTCCTCTCCCAAGCATCTTAGGCTGATTAGTCCCACAGTTTTTAATACCATCTCTGCTGATGACTCCCAGATATGTATCTCTAACCCACACCTCTCCTGAACTCCAGACTCAACTTGCCATCTCCACTTGGATATCTAGTAGACATCTCCAACTTAGTCCAAAACTGATATTTGGATCATTCCCAGGAAAAAAAAAAAAAGCCCAATCCACTTACAGTCTTCCTCTTCTCAATTGCCGGCAACTTCCATGTGTTCAGTTGCTCAGGACAAAAACCTCTGTCAGCCTTGGTTCCTCTTCCCTCAACCCCACCACCAATTTATCTGATAGCCTGTTGACTACATTTTTTAAAACACATCCAAAATCAGACCACCTTCACTGCTACCACTGTTCTATTTTCAGCACAACACTCAGAGTGATCCTTTGAAACATAAGTCAAAGTGTGTCCTGTGCAAAGAACCCTCCATTTCACCCAAGTCTTTATAATGGCCTACATGTACACACACACACACACACACACACACACACACACACACACACACACACACACCATTAATCTCCCTGACTTCATCTTTTTCTACTTCATCCTCTCGTTCACTCCAACCTCTTTGATCAAACATTTCAGGCATGTTCCAGCCACAGGGCCTTTGCACTGGCTGTTCACTCTGTCTGGCATGCTCTTCCCTAAGATTGTCTGCAGGGTAACTCCCTAATTTCCAATCCTTGCTCAGAAGTCACCTTTTCAATGGGACCTAAACACTGTATTTAAAATTGCAACCTACATTCCCCCCACCCCACCCCCAATCCCTTTGCTCTCCAGTTTTTCCCATAGCATTTATTTTATAATATAATGTACCTTTTTATTATGTTTATTATCTGTCTCCTCTCACTAAAATGTAAGCACCACATGCCAGAGATCTTTTACTATATTTTTTATTGATGATGCAGAAGAATTGCATTGTACATAGCTAATGTTCAATAAATTTGTTGAGTGAAATGATAAGATTGAAAGTGTGAAATAGTAAAAACTTTAAAGCTGTAGATTGCAAAAACAAGATTGAAAGCCAACTGGGAAGAAATGTTTAGAACACATGATTCATGTCTAACATATAACCAGAATTTACATATCAATATGTAAGACATTAACACCTCTTAGTCAGTAAAGAGATGGGCAAAAGATCTACTGAATCTCCAATCTTACTAGTCAGAAAGAAATGTAAATTCAAAAGGTAATTACCATTTTTCATATCTCAATTAGGAACAGATGAAATCTTTCTTGGCTAAGAGTAATTTATTTTACCGTCACAAAAATTCAGAAGAAAAGAAATAAAGCCATATATCGTACCACTCAAGGCTCCACATTTTAAACAAGATACTTTTAATATTAGCCCAGAGAATAATGCCATGCATGTTTCAGGTCTATGGGCAAGATCTAGGAGCTGTAGTGAGACATCATCCTTCAAGACTTATCAATAATATTACCCCTTTGAGTGTTGGTCTGTGAAATCAACCCATAGTGGGAGATGTCCTCCTTGGCCCTAGAAAGCAGGGCCAGTGGGATGGCATGATGGGAGTGTAAACTGGTACATTTATTTTTAAGTCTGGAGTGTTCCTACCTTGTGAGTTTTGCATGAAATTCCCAAGGAAACCATAAGAGATGAGCTCTAAAACTTATATATAAAGATATTCACTGATTCTTCCCAATACCAAAAAAATGTAAGTACCCTAAATTTATAATAGGGAAAGTGCTAAATTATCATGCATAAGTATGATGCAGCCATTTAATCTGAAAAAGTGATTTCCAAGAAATTTTTAATTACATCGAAAATGCTCAGAATACAATGTTAAGTGAGAAAAGATGCAAAAGTATCAGCAATACAGTTATAGTTAATACTTTCATAATGTTTCCTCAGAGCATTTACTATCAGCTTCTCTCTGCTTAAAATTCTTTAGGATCAAATCTTAATTTCTTGGTTAGGCTGAGGATGAGCCCTACTTCCCTCTCCTGGCTCAGCTCACCCCATTCCCTTCCTGGTACTTGGCATTTCAGACATACAGAAATACTGACTGACAGGCTCCCCAGACTTGCCCTGCTCTCTTGCTCTCTCTCTGCCCCAAGACTTTGCATACTTCCAGCTGCCTGATATCCCTAGCTCTCTAATCTTTGCTTGAAAAACTCTTATTTGTCCTTTAGGTTTTGGAAAATCTGCTCCAAACCTACCTAAGGGGAAGGGGGACTCACTAGCCAAGACGTTTCACTATTAGAAGTAGCTTTCCGCTACTTTTTTGCCATCTAGTCTCTCTTCTTATATGAATATCACTCTTTTTCACTTTTTTTCTTTAGATAAGTCTAAGCCTCACCTTTAAGTGTGTTCATACTGCCTGGCTTTGCCCATTTATAACTAATTGTATAGACTGCTTTCTAGAGTCACTGAGGACATCCCTCACTATGGGTGGTTTTCATAGATCAACACTAAAAGGAGCAATATTATTGATAAGTTTTGAAGGATGATGTCTCACTACAGCTCCCAGATCTTGCCCATAGGCCTGAAACATGTGTGGCATTATTCTCTGGGCTAATCTTAAAAGTATCATAATTTTAAAATGTAGGGCCTAGAGTGGTACAATATATGGCTTTATTTCATTACATCTGAACTCTTTTGTTGTTAAATTAATGTTCTACTTCTAAACATCCAATCATAATGTTTTGACTATGTAATTTGATTTTTAAACAAAAACAACAAAAAGTTAATTTGTTGTAGGCACAACATTTTCTAGCCTGGCAAGTAGCTCTTTGCCCAGTCAGCAAGCAAAATTGTTTAAGATAAATGTAGTAGGGAAA